TCATGGCAAAGAACTCTGAGGATCTGAAAAAACGAATTGTTGCTCGACATAAAGGTGGCGTAGGCTATAAGATTGCCAAGACCATGAAACTGAGCTGCAGTACGGTGGCCAAGACCATACAGCGGTTTAACAGGACAGGTTCCACTCAGAACAAGCCTCGCCATGGTCGACCAAAGAAGTTGAGTGCACGTGCTCAGCGTCATATCCAGAGGTTGTGTTTGGGAAATAGACGTATGAGTGCTGCCAGCATTGCTGCAGAAGTTGAAGGGGTGGGGGGGTCAGCCTGTCAGTGCTCAGACCATATGCCGAACGCTGCATCAAATTGGTCTGCATGGCTGTCGTCCCAGAAGGAAGCCTCTTCTAAAGATGATGCACAAGAAAGCCCGCAAACAGTTTGCTGAAGACAAGCAAACTAAGGACATGGATTACTGGAACCATGTCCTGTGGTCTGATGAGACCAAGATAAACTTATTTGGTTCAGATGGTGTCAAGCGTGTGTGGCGGCAACCAGGTGAGGGAGGGCGCGGCAATCATAGCTGTCACGTGTCATATATAAAACATCATAGGAGTTTCCGACACAAATCACTTTTAGGCCTACTAGTGTCCAAACTAATAAAAAATGAAAAAGAACTAAATTACTAAAACCAAAATTAATTTAATACAGAGACTAAACACAAAAACAAACGCTTTTAATAAATACTACAATAGTAGCCTATATAAATAACGCTATTTAATGTAATTAACATGAATATATTTTAATAATATTATTTTTTGTTATTTAAAAATTCATGCATCACAGGGTAAAAGAAACTAGTACAAGAACTTATCAAGCTAAACATTTGACAAAATTAATGTTTTTTTGAAAGCGTAAACCAACAGATCTTGCATTGAAATTAATCACAGTATGTATTGTGCCACTTTGTGTGGATCATTCTGCAAGGACACCTGTGTGAACTTGAGGAGAACCGTCTTCGTACACCTACTAAAAACCACCAAAACGCCAGCTGAACAAGCACTGAGCAAATCTGAAGATAGTGAAGAAAAGAAGATCCTGCAGCATTTGCAAAATGCTGATACAGACGCTTAATTTGACTTGATTTTATTGATTTCAATGACATACAGACATTAACTCGGACTTAAAACATCCCTGCCAATAGCCACATGGCAGTGAAAGCATTAATGCCATCCCAGCAGAACCCACACAGAAGATGCTTCAGGTTGGATGGCCTTGACCTCTTGTGTTCACATGATTTTCAGGACGTAACTCAATAGTGTCCTCTACAGGTGAAGCTCCATAAGTGCACTACTACTAGAGAGACAATTAAAGCCTTATATTGATGGATACTATTGACAACAACAGTGTATTAAAATACGCGGAGTAAGAAATATTGTTTCCAGTCATGTTTTTAGAAGAAAAAAAAAATGTAAGTCACACTCTCGATTGTCATCGCTCCAGAATACCAGCTGAACAATGATCAGAAAAACTGAGTCATACTGGTAAAATCACCCAGGTTCAGCTCTCAAGGCCTGTTGTTCTGATGTTATTCCTGCACGATTTCTGCAGCAGGTGGAGGTCAAGAGATCCTGTGAGGGGAAAACCAGTCGCCATCTGCCCGCCTAATTCCCACATGTGGCTTCTGTCTCGACCCATTACAGGATCTATTGCGGCTCCGGACTGCCTCGCTGCAGTAAATTCACAAGAATAAAAATAAACCACTATTTCTGAATTTAAGTCTACTTAATACTGAGCAGTTTGGTAATGACACCTAATAAACATTACATAATTTAAAATTAAGTTGAAAATTTCCTCATTTAACATTTTTTTTAAAGTAAATGCATGCATACATTTCTGTATCTCAAATATTAAAACATGGTGCTAGCAAAGCCAAGGTTATGGGTTTTAATTCAATGCATGAACTGATAAGTGTTGAATGCAATAAGATGCTAAATGCATAAAAAAAACTTCCATTTTGCAATCCATATTAGTAGTCAATCAATTTGAGTTTTTCAGTTCTTTATATTCTCGATACAGAGTGACACACTGAGAAGAAGCTCAGGAGTTTAAACCTCACTAAACTTAGTATATTTGCACGTATTAATCTCATTACTGTACAAGCTTCAGCCGGCACCTGTGAGTCAGATATTAGAGGCTGCAATTAAAGGGTTTTGTGTTATTTCAGTTGTTAGATTGACTCCATTCAGACCCACTCAGAGCCTGCAGTAAGTGTCATCGTGCAGGTAATTGTGGCAGTAATTACGTCTGCTGTGAGAGTCCCAGATTGCCGAGGGAAAGCGTAACACAATGATGTAAATGAATGAAAGGCTTTAGGGCCATACGACCTTTGACAGGGCTGTCTAAACGAGACCCACGGGGCGAAGTTCATTTTCGTTGACGCAAAGCTAACTCTAAACTAATTTACGTAAATGTATGAGACAAAAACACTGTAACACTTTCATTTCAGTTCCTTTGTATGAATTATCTCGAGTATAAAACGAAGTAAACAGTTGAAATGAAGAGGTAAACAAAACATCAGACTATACCGGAGTCCAACAGGTGCAACGCAGACATCAAATACCTCTCCTTCAGTCTTGATCTTCAGTCTGTTCACAGGATCAGCTAATCCACTGCTATGAATGCAAGGTACTGGGCCATACGACACAAACACTTCTGGGTCACAGGAGATACAACACGTAACAGGTGACGCTAAAGGAGGTCCAATTAAGACAGGAAAAAATAAATACATATCATTTTTTTTTATATATATATTTACAGTTTTCTATTTGAATATATTTCAGAATGTAAATTTTTTTCTGCGATGAAAAACTGAATTTTTTTTCATCACATGATCCTTTAGAAATTAACTTCTTTAAAGAAAAATGCATGCTCCAAACTATCTATAAATATTCTCTTTAATTTTTATTATTCTATCATAATAATAATAATATTTAAATTCACATATGGCTACAAATGGTATCCTCATCTTTTCCCTTCTCTTTCTCTTACGACAAGGGCTTTTACAATAAAGTCCTTGCAATTATTTATCAGTTGATCTGTCACGTACTTTCAAGTTTTTACATAACTTTTCAATGAAAATGATAATTGTCATATCTAAAATGTCTAGAAGTAAACGTGAATCAAAACTGACCCTATTTACTTCCTAATGCATGTTTTCATTACTGCGCACAAATTATTCCAGACAAAAAAAATGTTTGTTGTTGTAAACTTTTCACAGTAAATTCACATCCTGTCCTGCATTGTTGCTCGCTGAATATGCTGTTTTAATTTGGAAATGCATCACAGTAAAATGTGTCTGTGAATCCTATTTCATCTGGACTTGACTTTAAGAGGGTTTGTTTATATATTGTGAGCGGAAGGCAACTCAGACCCACCAGTGTGGCGTAAGTGGATTCTCCGTCACTGAAGGGTCACTGAAGGTCAAAGCTCTGGACGCAGCTCAGTTTCCTCCATCATGTTTCTGAGAGCTGCCTGATTTTATCTGGAGTTTTTTCTCTCAGCGCATGCATCCTTGGCCATGCCGCCGCCTCCGTGTGCCGTGTGCCAGCCAAGATGGCGCCATCGAACACTTCCTTCAGGTTCTTCTGCGTCAGCGCTGAGCATTCAGCAAACGTGACGGCGCTGATGCTCCGGGCGCACAGGCGGGCGTCGTCTCCGCTCACCGGTTTCTCCTGGCCATCCGCGAGTCTGATCAGTCTCCCGCAGGTCGCTCCGGGTGCCCACGAGGATGATGGGAACGCCCGGACAGAGGTGATGGACCTCGGGGGCCCAGCGGGACGTCACGCTCCTGAAGGAGGATGGAAGGACCACGCTGTAGCAGAGCAGGAAGACACCAGCGTCACGGTAACAGAGAGGACGGAGGCGCTCAAACTCATCCTGAAAACAGAAAGAAAAGTGAGACAGCTGCCACATTTGACTTACTAATTCAAATATTGTGACCTATATTTATAAATATATGCATTGCAAAGAAGAGCAGCAGTTATGCTACTTGCATAATTTTTTCAAACTTCTAGATTGCATGTGCTTTTCTATTTATAACAAAAGATATGCAAGTATGGCAAATTGTCAGTCTGATGAGCAAGTT